TTGACAGTGAATTACCTAACTAAAAACCATCCCATACTATTAACAGTGAATTACCTAACTAAAAACCATCCCATACTATTAACAGTTAATTACCTAACTATAAACCATCCCATACTATTAACAGTTAATTACCTAACCAAACACCATCCCATACTATTAACAGTGAATTACCTAACTAAAAACCATCTTTTTTTGCGTTTATTAGATTGTGGTTCTTCACATGCTGTTGTAGGTTTCCTGTGTTTGGCCCCCGTCTATTCCGTCTTTGCGTATTGCAGAGTTATCTTCTCTTGGGAGCAGGTATTGATTGTTACGTCACTTGTTTGTGAGAGTAACGTCATCAATTTTTGAGAAAACGACGTAATTTTCTCACACAAACCAATGACGTAACAATCAATACATGCTCCCAAGAGAAGATAACTCTGCAATACGCAAAGACGGAATAGATCACTCTACGATACCTATGTAAATTCCTTACTGGGAAACAACCTAACCAGTTGCCTCAACTACTTAGCATCGGTTAAATGAGGATTGAGATACTAATTTTTAACAGTTAGGGTGGTATGTAACCCAGTTACTTATACACATGTTCAGATTACATTTGAATCCCTCTACACAATTTTTAGAATGTTTCTTTATGTTTCTGTAGCATTTAAAGATTCTGTGAATCAATTGATGAATCAGTTGGTTTCGGCTGAAAAGGAGTTTTCTGCAAACGGCGGAACGTCAATCGGAAAAAAACTCACGTTCGTGCTTGTATGCAATTCAACAGTATTTTAGTTGTTACAGTTGTCATTTGAGTTGTTCCATTAAAAAGAGATGATCTGGAAAGCAGAGTGTCAAAAATAAGCAACAAGAACTACTATCAAAATATTATTTATCTTAGTGTAACCTCAGTTTAAACATGAGACGGCGATTCACAGCTAGCTTTGTATGACTAGCGCCAGTAGTAATAATACTCCAGTTGCAACGTTTAACGTGGTCTAGACGCACGCATAATTACAATATGATTCATGCTCGACAAAAACCTGTTGATTGCAGTGTATGCAATATGTATGTGTAAAAATTGACAAAACCTATCTATCAATCATTTGGAAAGTGCTAGCAGTTGTTTTTCTAAGTGTTAAATTTAATTTGTTCACTCTGTGAACATTTTGATCTGTTATATTTAAATCAAATTTTCAAAGAGCCAAATTATTTGAATCGCTCAAGTTTGTGGAATAATACGTATTCGCGATTTTCACTCTAACAACACATTTAAGACTATTTGAATTGTGTTGGAACATGCAACATGAAAAGAGAAAGGCCAAACGCTATTTACTCTGTGAGAGAATGAGCCTTTCGAGGTCTGAAGGGCCGACATTAGTCTACTCTCTCATAGAATCTACTTAAAACAGGGTTTTGTATTAATAATAGACACATTTCTGTGTTTATTATGGTTTACTATTGCACTTAAAAGTCAAAACCTTAATCAACAACTGAATCAGCGCTGGCCGCAGTAGTAAAATTATGTCGTTTCCATTAAAGAGTTATATAATCGTAACATAGATTTATCATCCCAGGGAAGTGTTTATTGGATCGATTATACTTAGTATGGATTAATGTGTATGAAGATATGACGGATTATCCCCGAATTAAAGTAGACTTGACTGTTCCATCACGTAAGTCTGTTGGATAAAATTGTTCTCAAAAGATTTGTTTCCTCAATTAAGTTAGACATAATAGTAAGTTATTATGTCTCTCCTTCGAATGAATAATGAATAAACCGTTAAAGATATCTTGATGAAACTTCAGGTATGCAAACATCACTCACAGGAGGTGTGCAGTGCACTGGAGTTAGGTCACTGTGGCCTTCACATCAAGGTCAAAGGTCAAATAAGTGCATATTTTCAGTAAAATTCTTGTCCGGCCCGTACATTTCAAACAGTTAAAGATATCAAACAAGTATACCTGCATCACCCACAGAAGGTGTGCAGTGCATCACTATATACAGAACTATGGCCCTTTGTTTCATTTATATACCGAAGTTTGCCAACGGCATGTTATTAGGGCCCCGCATCGAAGATGCAAGTGCCCTATACGAATGCATCCGTCCATTCGTCACAATCAAACAAGGTATCAACTGACCAAAGGTCAAGGTCACTGGGTCAAAGGTCAAGGTCAAATATGGTTTCTTTTCCCTGATGAACATTTTGTTATGACATTATGAAGCAAAGTTGGTTGGAATTTAACGGAGAATCAACTGACTTAAGGTCAAGGTGACTGGGTCAAAGGTTAAGGTCAAATTCCGTATCTTTTTCACTGGGGAACATTTTGTTATGACACTTTGAAGCAAAGTTGGTCGGAATTAAACAAGGAGCCAGTTGACCAAAGACCAAAGGTCACTGGGTCAAATGTGAAGATAACATTTTGTATCTTTTCACTGGTGATCATTTTGTTTTGACACTTTGAAGCAATGTTGGTCAGTATTAAACAGGGTGTCAATTGATCTAAGGTCAAGGTCACTGGGTCAAAGGTTGAGGTCAAATTTTGTATCTTTTCCCTGAGAAACATTTTGTTATGACACTTATAAGCAATGTGTGTCGGAATTACACAAGGAGTCTTTTGGTCAAAGGTCAAGGTCATTTTTTTTTAAAAATCTTTTCACTAATGAACATTTTGTTATGATATTATGAAGCAAAGTTGGTTGGAATTTAACAAGGAGTCAACTGACTTAAGGTCAAGGTCACTGGGGCAATTGCAAGGTCAAATATTGTATCTTTTTACTGATGAATTTTTTTTTGTATGTTATTATGAAGCAAAGTTGTTCAGAACTTAACACGGAGTCAACTGATAAAAAATCCAGGTTACGGGTTCCAAAGATTCAAGGTCAAGGTCAAGTTTGGTATTTTTCACTGATTAACATTTTGTTATGATATTATGAAGCAAAGTTGGTCGGTATTGAAGAATGAGTCAACTGACTAAAAATCAGGGTCACTTGGTTAAAGGTCAAGGTCATTTGGGTCCAAAGGTCAAAGACAAAGTTGATCTCCTACTTTGACCCTGGCTCTTGATGGAGGGGGTATTTAAGGTGAAATAAAACAAATCAAAGCTAACAAATGAATATTGCACCGGTACTTACATTTATGTAGCCCAGCAAATATGGAAGTGGAAGGAAACAAGACTCGCATCAAAAAACATGTAAAATGTTGATTTTGCTTCCTTGCAATTTTTTTTGAAGTCCAAATGTCAAACGTCAAGCTCAGCTTTATGGGTAGATTGCTTCTTGATGATTATGGGGGATATATTGCCACAAGACGGGGCCTTTACTGACCTGTCAGTGTTCTAGTTTCACCTACGTTGACCAAACTTGCTAAAGTTTTAATGTATCTTGGGAAGTAGGAGTGTCGAATTTTTAATTCGGGTCTCGTGTCCCACTATCTAAAGCGATATGGGCCTTTGCTAATTTTTTATACCGGAGTTTTTCTATTGGCTTTTGGTAGACATGCTTTTTTTCTAGTTTCTTCATTGAATAGAACTATCGGTGATATTTCAATGAGCTTTTAAATTTAAACATTGATGTATGGTTACATGTATCTGGTTCAGATCAAAATAATGTAAATAAATAGTAGATTTAAAAGATTTAAAATCTACTGGAACCTAACTGTTTTTTCAATCTATGGGAACCCGACCTCTAAATTGACAGAAGCTACGAATAGCTGAAAAATGGAATTTTCACCCACAAATAGACTACATTCTTACTTATGTTTTCTCACGATTGATCTAAAAAGCCCATCTTCACTTATTATCAGATCAGGCCTATAGCATTCAATCAAATTCTCTTCTGTCACTCTGTGATTTTATGTTATCAAGTTTGTAACTTAATTAACCAAGCGAAATTATGTTCAACCAGTAGAGCTAGTATTAATAAGGAGAAGAGTTATGTGTGGATGTACTGCCTTGATCAATCAGTTTTCCTGACATGTCAAAAAAAGCTTGCTGGGACAACAATATATTCAAGCATTAGCGACAAAAGCCTATGTGGTTTGCAGGGCAAACATCTTTATGTTCCTGTTCCTGCGTTTGGGAGGGTACGTGTAAAGCTTCCCTCACAGTGTATACGTCCAATAAAGGTTGCCTCTGTCGTAAGGTTCCTATTAATGACATCCCTAATCGTTATGTTTACTCGCGATATCCCCATGTCTTTCGGGACTTTGATTTGATACCTGCAACTGTCCATTATTAGGCCAGCAGCTGTCCATTATAAAACACAATAATTGACGGTTACTGCTTAATAACGGACAGCTGTAGGTAAATATCTTTACTTAATTATGGTTAACCAATGAAATGTGCCGTTGCATCTCCGAAGTTGTAGAATATGCAATATTGCCCTGCCACTACGTGGTGATTAATCTTATGTAAACAGGTGAATGTATTCATATGTCCTACCTCTTGGTTTTGTGCATATAAGAGAATCGCGTTGACTTAGCCATCTAATAGCTGTTCTATATACCATCAATCATTCTAAAAAGAAATTTATTTAAGGTAACGTTTCTGTGTTAAAATTAATTTCTCCCGGTTTTTATTTTGATACAAATGTATATTTCATTAGCATATTTGGTTTTTATCGCGTGTATCAACGATAAATAATGGAAACGTTTAACCACAAAAACAAGTTGACTGTCACCAAGATTTATGACTTTTCAAACAGATAAAATATAGAGGAGTTAACATATTCTTTATATGGAAAATATATGATTGATAGACTTACATTTTGTTTCATTGCAAATAAATCTTGTCAAAAATTATTGACCGAAAAACGTTAACCACAGCAAATTCTCAGTGTCTCAGAAATTCTGATACATTTTTACTGCATCGAAATCAGAGTATGCTAATGAGTTATTGTATTGGTGTAACTGTGTCCTTATTTTCTTATACTCTTCAAAAGCCTTAATGGTTAAAATAATATTTATGTGTTTCAAGTACCTATTAGATCGTGTCTTATTGTCTTGTTTTTGAAGCTGAACACCTCCACAAGTGTTGAGTACGTGAAGATGCGTGACCGGATTGGGCTTATCAGCAGGAACCTGGACAGGCCAATCACCAAGGATACCGTGAATGTCCCGGATGGAGGTTATACCATTGTCAGGTTCCACGCCAAAAACCCAGGTACAATGCATGTTAAACATTGTCTTAAAAGCGTATTCTTTAAAACAATTGATCTTTAATTTAAAGCTTTGAATTTGTTGCTTTGGATTTAGAAGGGACCATGTCGTAGGATACTTTCAAACATTCTGCCAATGAACCTGAAGCTCGTTTAATTAACATATGTGATGGAAACTCGTTTAAAATCCTCGTTATCTAACAATGTAGAAATTCATGTTGTATGGAGCTATCTTTCGTCATGAAGAAAAGACGTCATCACATTGTGTTTGTGACTACATATAAGTTGTTATTATGCAAGATATTTCAGATGTTACCAATTGAATACCTACATCTTTCTTTGAGTATATATCTTTCAGTAAATCAAAATGATGTGAGAATCTTTTGAGTATTCACCAGGTTGAATACTCACATTTCTCTTTAAGAATATCCTATCCAGTTTAAATAAGTATTTCAAAACGATATTATATCCTTTTTTGAGTATTCACCAGTGGGAATACCCACATCTATCTTAATGTCTATGAAAACAAGGTGAGAGCCTTTTGAGTACTATTATTCGCCCGTTTGAATTCCCATATCTTTCTTTTAGTACACCTATTCAATGTGGAACCTTGTCGGTGTATTTTCCATTTTAAATATCTACATTTCTCTAAAGTACATAAACCTGAAGTCAATGGGTACATACGCAATTGCATGCAAGTCGGTTTGATCTGTATGTGCAGGATTCTGGCTGCTTCATTGCCACATCGCCTTCCACATGGCGATGGGTATGAGTGTCGTCATCCAGGTGGGCGAGGTGGAGCAGATGCCAGCGCCCCCTAGGAATTTCCCACGCTGCGGGGACTGGACACCGGAAACCCAGCAGATGGAGGAGTACCCTGAATGTGGCCAGCAGTCCACAGCCTACCCTCTGGTCATGGGAACTGACGTAGCGAATTCCTACTATGGCTCTTCCGTCCAGCCAGTACTTATCTTTATTTCCCTCATTTTATCTCTTGTAAATAGTGCGACACAGATTTATGGATAGAAAAGACACTAACATTTATATTTGTCGATCGTCTGACCTGTTCATAGCGGGACAGACATATAAACACCAGAAATCCGAACTTGTATATATGCATATCGTCTATCTTGTTTAAAGCACGACACTACATATTATACAAGACCAAAAATTTGAACTTGTATATATTCCGATCGTCTATCTTGTTTAAAGCGCGACACAACATATTTAAGACCAGAAATCTGAACTTGTATATATTCCGGTCGTCTATCTTGTTTAAACCGCTACAAAGACATTTTGATAGATATGATATCTGTTTTAATATATATTGTCCGATGGGCTTTCTTGATGTCTTGATAAGATATCTGCACCTTTTTTTTCGATCGCCTATCTTGTTCACAGCGCGATACAAACTTTTGACAAGACAAGATATTTTTACTTACATTTATTTTCCGATAGTCCATCTCGATGTGAGCGCGCCACAGACTTTTGATAAGACAAGATATTTTTGTATTCGTTTATTTTTCCGATCTTTTCTCTTGATATCATATCGATGAAGAGTTGTTAATAAGATACAGAATATCTTAAATTTATCTCTCTGGCCTTTCTTCCAGTAACATACACATCAAATGTTAATGATCAGGTATCTCGCGTAGTGTGTGTCAAGTTACTCAATGACGATTCCTCTCGTATCATTGACCAGAACGGAACGGAAACTGAAATGAAATCCCACCACTGATTTTCGCATTCAGATAATATCACAATGTTTACTTTGTTTATTTCATATATTTTATTTTCATCAAATGAAATCCCCAAAACATTGAATCTTTACGATTTGATGTCGAATGACAAGTTGTCGCGATATGTTGATTACTGTTAAATGTATATACCGGAAATCCATTTATCAGCTCATATTATATACATTATTATTTTTATATCTACAATCTATTGTTCTTCAAAATGTTCGTTTTTTGGCTAGGAGATCCGTTATTTTTTACTGTGCAACTATATACATTGTTGAACGTGAAATCCATTGAAAAGACTTTTCTTCTGTGAACTGATTTTTTGTTAATTTTTCTATATAAACATGTTTATCATTTGAATGTTATGACATTACTGTAAACGTACTTATTTAAGCGGTGATAATATTTTAGCGATTTGTTTGCTATTTTGAAAGTGGTAAATTATAATATCCGCTTACGAACTATATAAATATAATAACATTATATTTCTGTATAAGATATGTATAGCTCTAAATCATGATTTGTGTGAGTTAATCATTGTCGCCAGTGCGCAAAAATATGAATCCTCTAATATAAGTACGCTTTCAGTATACTTGATTTGTGTGTTTTTAGAGGCTATACTCTGTTGGCGCCGTGATAACAGGCTTGTGTAGTGTTGTCTATATTAAATGTATCATCATTTATCGCCGTGTTGTGTATCATTTCATCCTATAGCAGATTGCATGGTTTGAAGGTAAAGGGCACCACTTCATCAGTAATAATCGTCCAAAAAAAGTTCTGCTTTTTTCATTTTTTAACTTTCAAATTTCGACAAAATCAATAATACATTTTAATTTGGTGGTACCATTTACCTTAAACAATGGTGAAAGTGTACGATTAGTTCATTTAGGTTCAAATACTGTAGATACCTTTGATTTTGCCTGATATTTATTTTCGCGTAATTTCTCGTTATAAATGGATCGAGAACTCGAGTATTACATAACCGAAGACAAAGACATGGTAAGAATCGCGAAATAAAGTCTTCGCAGTTAATTGCAGGAAGGTGAGTTCTCGCGGAAAAAAAATGTTCGCGAATATAAGTAATCTACAGTATGGGGTGGAGCGCACGTTAACTAATGAATTCAATATTTCATCCACCATCAATATCCAGACAAGAGAATGGTGTTCACTTCATTCACAACTTTTTGTCCATCACTATCTACACATGAAGTGATGTAGGACAGTTATATATATTATCTGTGTCTCCCTTACCAGTGATTTGCATCGTGATCATGGAGATTCTAAGAGGTACTGGACGTCAACATCACTAACCATGGCCATTCATGTAAGTTATTTACAGTAAATAACCATTTGGTCATATTAATTTTGAGCTCAACTTACTTCAATCCCATGGATTTGTATTAAATCTCAGAAATGAATAACATGGTGGTAGTTGCGTGCTTGTCGTAGTGATAGGGATCAACACCAGTCAACAATGTGCATATAATAACTCGAAATATATCTTTCATCGGTTAGATAGCCATCCCTCCAAAAATGTTAGGTGCTGTGTTTATGTTTGTTTCCATCGAAATGGCACTTATGACCAATGTGAGCAATGTTCGTGTCTCTTAAGTTTCACTGTAGCGGATGAGAGGATTCCACGCATATTAAACATGGCAGTTGATCTGTTATTCGAATATATTCCAAATTAATAAAGGCCATAGTCCAAATAGTAGTTTATATTAGCCTGCAATGATTCCTAAAAAGCACAGGTCGATAGCTACACGTCATTAGTCCCCGTGAAAAGCACAAGTGATAGACTCCAATGGGAAATATCGGTGGGGATCAGGCCTTTAGCTCGATTCTGAACTGACCCTAGTTTCTAGAGTTGTCTATTCTACCGATTTTCTTGTCTTTTCTCGCTCTCGTGGATTGGTAGATGTCGTGCGCATATTTCTATTTACTGATTGCGAATAGAAGATTTTTTCGAATTTAAATTTCATTCGAGTTATATGTGGATTTCCGTGACGATTCAGCGATATTTTTATAGAAATTCACTAAGAAATCGCCAAAATAGTATCAGACAAATGAACCACACAACGGGGGCAAAGGCAGATAATCAAACATGCTCGTGCTCTCTCAAGTCAAGTTTTTACAAGATTAGAATTTGCCAATTTAGAATGTCATGATACTTGTCTCCCATATGCCATGTGTGAAGGTTATTAGAAAGTAAATATTTACATACCGCAATATGCACCTTGATATTCTTCATTGCTCTAGTATTCTGAACTGTTGAGTTATTGGTCAACGCAAAAGTTTTGTTCAGTAGCTGTTTATAGGTATTGGTCTTGCTGTTGTTCTTGTTCCGGTATCTATGTTAACTTGTATACTACGCTAATATTTGTAAACTGCTAAAGGAGATAAATCCGTGGACTCTGCTCTGAAGTCTTTCCCTTTATGTGCACACTTTATCATAACGTTTTTGGTTATGGAAGTAGTTAATAGTATTTCATGTCCAATCATACGGTGGAGGTGATATGCATCTATCTTGTCCTTTAACTGGTGACGGCGCAATATCTTTTTATGTCCTGTTAGTTTGGTACTTATTACCCCTACTTCATTAACGTTAAGTTTCCGTCTTTCAGCACTATATCTCCAACTTCAACCCTCCGCAACCAAATCTGAGCTCTCAGTCTAGTGTGAACGCTACAGCTAAGAACATGCGAATGCAGATGTTCAACATGTTCCTTACCGGCAGCAATGGTCGCCCAACGCGACCACGAGGTTTGAAGTGGACCAAGAGCAGCGCCGCGTCATCGCCATCACTTGATGTTCGACCCAGACGTACAGGCCGTAACGCACGCACCGATCACCATGAGGACCGCTCCGACCGCGTGTTGTCCACGAACCCCCTGTTGTATCCGTCGGGTAGACGGTAGTTACGTCTGTCGATGTCTTGGAAACGATCCTGGACCAAATTTTACAAGGAATCATTATGTCCTTGTTCTTCATTTGAGCAGACGCCATCATTGCATAGGGAAATCGGGCTGACCAGTACGTGTCTGACGTCATCGGAGCACGGCCCCGCTTTGCCACAAGTAGCACGCGCCTTGTCCCACGGATTAAGGGACACTATTGTTAGATGGTTCACATCCAAGTAGTTGCTGTTGAATTGCTCACAGATTTCATCTCGGCAGTTTGTTGGAAATGATATTTCAGCTTCATTGTTCTTGGTTAAGAATGCTGATTTTGAATTAAATTTATTGTTGAAAATACATAGTAAGACTAATTTTGTTTTGTGTGATTCTTTTATTTATATATATATTATTTATTTGTAAATAGCAAAAATGCCTAGACAGGAAGAAAATCAGTTATTATTTTAAACACGGTTAAAACAATTTTCTTTTACGTCGAATAAATCCTTAAAGTTGATGACGATAATGGAACTGGGTACTGGTTCTAAATAATATCCTGGAATCCTATCTGGCTTAACCTTACCAAAAGTTAGGTTTTGACTTTAATGGTTACTAAATGATAATCAAAAGACGTATGAACGGAGTTTGCACATCGAGTGCCTAGTGTTACCTTGTTAATCCAGCTCTGTAAATATATTACCAGAAAATTGTAAAAAATAAAATTAAAAAAATAATGAGCTTAAGTAGTACGAATTAAAAAGGGCCAGAATTTTCAAACGACCACGATTCCTATTGAATGATGAACCAATCACAGTGACAAAGGTAGTCAATATGACTACATAAGGCTGCTGCTGAGGAAAGGAGAGATCATTACAAATCAATCGGCATGCTGTTCACAAATTTTCTAAAATTCCACTATTATCTTTATATCCGATTGTTAATGAAGTGAGATTTAGTCTCAATTTAAATAGCCTGTGTATGAGGTCGGCTTCATACTATAGAAATAATCGGCTTACAGTTGCACACCATTGGAATACAGATACGTTGTTGAAATCATCATCAACAACTCTATTGAACAGAGAAAACAATTGCTTTTCTTGTAAGTGTTGTGTGGTTTTGTTGGCAGAGTGATACTTGCGTTTACTTTCGCCAGGTTTTAAATGAACCCTATCATTCAGACATGATTTAAGATAAGAACGAAGAGTGGTGGTGATATCTCAAAGTGTAACGTTTTTACAGAAGTCATTTTGACGATGATGGCGATTCCAGATATTCTTTATTATGTTACAAATTCAAATTTGATTGATGCCGCTACTTGAAACGTAGTTTCCGGTCCTCACTGCGATATGTTTGGTAGTTGACAAGGTCCACTGCTTGTAACGGATCCTCTGTAGTAAAGTGAGAGTAAATTAAACTAGGTGTTGGTGTCGGTGTATCATAGTTGTTCAGTATGTTGGTCTAGAAAATGCCGGTGGGAGATAACCGGATTAACAAAACAGCCCAACAAACAATTACACAGCACAAAATATCGAACAGAAAAAAACCCAGTTTCTACTGAATGATTATTCTGTTGTTCAAGGATAATCCTTTGGCCGGTTTGGGGTCTAAGACTTTTTACAAATAAAAAACCTTTCAAAAGGGAAAAAAAAATACTTCTGTTACATGGCGCCAACACGGAGCAAAACTAGTCGGCCTTTCTCTCAATATCGTTGGTATCACTGGAAAAACTCCAGAAGAGGTCTTTCATGAGGAGGAGTAAGTCGGCCAGTAAAATACTAGCCGCTTTCTATTTTCGGACATCAATACGTAAAACAATACACTTACCTTCACATGTGTCTTAAATGTAATTTTCAAACATCAAGTCTGAACTATGTTTTTTATTTTGTCTTAAAATTTCGTTGTGTGTCCTTGGCCAGTTTAAATTGGCTAAAAGTGTTAGCCTCCCACACCTGCAAACAGTACAAACAGTAATACCAATCAATAATCAGAAGTTATCAGCGTTACAGGTACATTTTCATTGTAATTATTACAATTATTGTAATGTTTAATTACACAATTTTGTATTTAAGTAATGATTGCAATATAGTTACATATTATCTTACCCCAGACCTGGTTTTTAGTATTGCGTATAAGAATTATCTTGCACAGTTTGTGTAAAACTGGTGTAATTAAGAAAACCAAAAGGAAACGCAAATTGTATAAGTTTTAAAATGAGTCTTAAATTTGGTTCACCAATGGTCTTACATCTTTTGTTTTAAGTTGTAATATTACAATATGGTAGCAAAAACGATGTTACTATTTCAGATTAAAAAAAATTAAGGGTGTCTGCATAAGGTATCTCAAATGTTTGAAAGGCAATTTAAAAACTAAGTACACCTGAATATCACTGATAAAATCAATATTAATCTTATTTGTTTTTTGAAAATGAATGTACCTGCATGTTCAGAGTGCATGTCTAGTTAACTAATTTCAAATAACCAAAGACATGAGGGACCTGATGTAAAGTTGTTTGACAAGCATGTTGAAGTACAAATGTTAATGGATATCCAGAAGTGATGATATAATCTGTCTGCCTCTCAACTGGCCCTTCATGTACAGTAGAGTATTGTTTTTGCCGGTGAGGCACGTTCGATGCTCCTGCCGTCACTACAACACCCCACCCCCAACCTCCTGCAGAGAGGATATCGGCTAAACGAAGCAATTTTAAACATATTTCTAATTTCTGTGAGTAAATAATATTATTTCGTTACACTGCACATTTAAATCTCTCTGAGATTTACTGAGTTTAAAAACATATTTCTACTTCTACTTCTAAATGGTACTGACCAACTTCAACATTTTGAAGATAAAATGTCAGACGAGGAGAGAAACATGGAAAGAGATTGTTTTTAAAAGATACGAGATGGTCTAATTTGCGTTTGAAAAGTGACGCAGAGGGCTGATTTGAATAATTCCGTTATGGGGCTCGAAATAATGTCCGGTGAGAGTTTATTCTACTCGGGTATAGTTCTAGGGAAGAATAATGCCTTGCTGGTCTGGGTTTTTGAGTGGGGAGTTTGATACGAAAACTGGTGGTTTGTTCGGGATTTTCTAACTGTAGGGATTAATCTATCTGATTTTACGATAGCGACTTTCTGGTTTACAATGTTATGAAGCATGGTGAGACGAGCATCTCTACGTCTATCTGCTAGAGGGCGCAGCTTTAGGTGGTCCAACATTTCTGACACACTGGAGGTACGATGGTTGTACCTGTGCTTATTTGCAGCAGTAATCATGTCACGTTAATATGGAACATGTTCGCCAGTGCTTAAAGCCTTTCCAGATACAAGGGCATTATTTGGTACGCTTAACTTAATTTGCTAGAAAGATTATTGTGAGGACATGATCAGTTAACACACTTCATAAGATCTATTATTGCGAACTTTGCACAAGACTACTTCAACATATTCATCGAGGAAATCAAAGCTGCGAAATCAATATAAAAAATGCTCATTTGCTACACATTATCTTTCACAATGTCCAATGTATACTGATGAGAGACAAACTTTAATAAATGAGATTTTTGAAGTGTGTCCGGTTAATCTTGATACTAAAACACTTCTTAATGGAAGCACTGTGTTAAACACTACTGAAAATAAATCTATACTTGATAGTGTTCTTAAATATATATACAACACAAGAAGACTTGTTTAATTAATCAAAACAATCTTTAAATTTTGTTATATATAGTCATAACTGATAAAATACTGTCCTTAAACCATTATGTGATTCTACTGATTGTTATATATTCATTGATGTTTTAATATTATACACCCAAGGGATTAAGCTTTGTGTGCTGTTTTTACTGATGGGTGCAATAAAGTAAAACATAAATGTGCTAAGTTTGAATGCTTAGTGTTCTGTGGTTTAATCTGGATTCTTCTCGAGTGGATGATATGTGAACGGTAGAGGCCGTTAGAGATTATTTTTTTCTGAACTCGACGAGATGAAAGATTTACACATATAACACTGGCAATACATCTTACATATATACTACATTTTCAAAATCTTCTAGCTGAATTGCCTCATTTTATTTGTCATATTTTGATGTTGTTGTATCCCTTACTTTTTATCACTCCTACCAATGATATATATATTGATACTAAATGGTTCTATTCTTCTAACTACTTCATGCAACAGCAGCAGGGGATGAACAGGGGGAACTAATGACTTGCAAAACAAAAAACAAAAAAACAATTGTAGCAATTTCTCTGTTTAATATATCATTAGGGCATTGCTTTCCTATTACTAATTAATTATGATTGACTTTTTAATATGAGCATTGTATAGCTAAAAATATCAATTAAATATTTATATGTAATTGAAACATACATGGAATTATCTCCCATATACCATCTGCTATATATATATATGTCTATGCCACTTATTATATATGATTTGCATCAATATTTTCTTACAAACCATTTCATTCATCTGTTTTCTTTGTCATGTCAACCTAAGGAGAGAACTTATATAGGCCTAGCCTGCTGTTCAATCCTACTGTGTACTCAATAAAATATGATGAAATGAAATGAGGTACGCTTAACTTAATTTGCTAGAAAGATTATTGTGGGGACATGATCAGTTAACACACTTCATGAGATCTATTATTGCGAACTTTGCACAAGACTACTTCAACATATTCATCGAGGAAATCAAAGCTGCGAAATCAATATAAAAAATGCTCATTTGCCTACAGAGAGAGAGACCTGGTTATAGCTGGAGATCTACCTTTTCTTATATTTTAACAAGTTAGTATTACACATAACATACACATAGATGTTCCGAAACGAGTGATGGATGGTTATCATGTTTATCTAACGCGAGTAAGTTAATTTTCAAACTGTATCGAGACACGTGGTTTACCGAGTGTCTTTTACAATTTGAAAATAAATTAACTAACGAGAGTTAGATAAACGTGATAACTTATCATCACGAGTTTGGGGACTTGTTTCTCCCACAATATTCGTATTCATCTTAAAAGGAACATTTTTCTTTTGGAAAATGCATCATGTGTGTTTCCGATGGGGGAAAAATGCCGTGGAGCATGACGTCACAATAGAAAATGACGTCGAAAAGAGCATTGTTACGTGACGTCATCAATCAAAGATTGACCAATGAAATAACGTCGAGGTTACCCACTAGCAGGTTTGATCCAATGAGTCTTGAGTGGGGAAACTACGGTGGTTGTGGGAGAAATCGACTGCTCCTGAAAAAGAGCAATATCGCTCACCTTTCTTTCATACATGCAACATTTTATTTCATTGGCTTAAGGATATACCATGCTAAAAAAAAGGGACAAATTCCTTAATGTAAATTTGAGCAGAAGTC